GCCCTCGTTCGAGGATGCATACTAGCCTTTGTGGAATCAAGCGAGAGCTGGAAGGTAGCAGCTTTGTTCCAGATAATACGTTGGTTAGCTGGATAGTTGGATCATCGCTTCTGAAGAACCTAGTCGGGTAAATGGAACACTGCACAGGGGTAATACCTATATTTCGTGGAGGACCAAGGTTGTCAAGTCACTGCGCTGTCCACAAATATATGTGATGATGTTTGCGGAGAGCCCTCACAAAAAGATAAATCTACCACACTCACGAATTCTGTGACTGATCGTATGCAACCACTTATTCATGGTTAGTCGTTAACTCTGCCTTAATGGTTAATGGGTAGAGGCCAGATAAAGCCGTCTCACGAAGTCAGCTGCTTTGGTACCTCCTGGCTTCCTTTTGTTACCCATTGTCACTCCTGGAGAGGTCACTCCAGCAAATAAACATAGGAGAGGAGCAGATGACCGGTCGAAAACACCCCGCTAGATGGACGTAGGAGTGAGGTACCTGGGTCTTCTTTCTGACGGTGGGAGAAGTCTTCGCACTTCATTAGACAACTTTTGCCAACCCAAGCCGCGCAGTCCCCGGCCGCTGGAAACAACCCTATTCTTGTGATAGCAGTATCTAGGTGGCAGACTGCCTAATCTGGAATATGCAGACGAGATTATACTGTTAAGTGAAGATCCAAATAAGTTGGAAGCTATTCTGAATGATTTGCGTGCTAGTCCAGTTATGTTTTGTACGCGTTTTTCTCCTTCAAAATGCAAAACGTTGCTCCAGGACTAGATCGACCCATTTTCCAACCTCACTTTAACTGCAGAAGCGGTAGAGAAACAAGACAAATTTGACAAAGTATTGAAAATCGGTTCTAGCAGCTCGGGTGAACTGAATTCTATTTCGCCACTTCACAAGCACTGATGATGTCACCTCGGCTGGTGATGAAACGTTTGCAAACAAATTCCAAGTTCGGCGAACAGGAGAAATAGAAGACAAATTTCGCTATTTGGGCAGCTGTATCTCACCTGGCGGATGCATCACGGATGGAGTGTCGGCACGCATACAGAATGCTCAATTGGCCTTTGCCATCGTGAGAAATCTCTAGCGCCGACGCGACATTCGGTTTTCTGTGAAGCGTAGAGTGTATGCTGGAGCAGTTCGGTCAGTACTGCTTCACGGTAGAATGACTTGGTCATTACGGAAATATGATGAAGACAGACTGTCGGTGTTTGAGGACCGCTGTCTACGCCGCATTGTACGGGTCTGGTTGGGAAACCGGACAAGCAATGCTGAGATGAGGCAGAGACTTAGTTAATCGCGATCGCCAATTAGAGTAAATGGTCGAAATCCATAGATTCCACTGGTTTGGTGTACACGTTACGAATGCTACCAACTAGGTTGTCACGGCGCAGGTTATTTGCCGAGGCAGGTACTGGTTTCAAAAAGCTAAGGGCGATCAGGCTAAGAACTGGCATAAAGGTGTGAAAACCCTAACCAGGAAATTGGGTCATTCAGGTCACGTTTGACTCCCTGGAGGATCATCGTAATCGGTGGTTAGAAGCGATGAGTGGCATGACTGAATGACGCAAACAGTTCCTCTATCGATAATCTTTCATGAATCCGGCACTCCTCCCAGTCGTGTTAGGTTAAAAGCACAATAAGTATGTTGAATTTTTATCTAGTTTTATATGCTGTTCACTCTCGGCAGACCAAACAGTGATAAATTACAATCCTTTATCTAAGGTGACCTATATCAAATATCCTGGTGTAGCTGTACCTAGCGATCTTTGTTGATCAACCAACATCCACATCTGAGTTAGGAGACTGTGATGTCCATTATTTCAAATTCGAACACTCAGGCAGTTTCGCGCTTCTTAGACCGTTATTTCTACTTTCGTAAACTAGTGTGTCTTTTCCATGTTTATCGTTCTTCAGTTATTTTCCTTGGCTTCCTTAAACAAAATTAGCCGCGCTTCTCCAATTCCTGTGCACGAGTTAATTATGAAGCGTTTAGATTATGATAAAACTTCTGATGTACAGTTAGCAAAATGGATTCATGCAAACCCTAACCATCCACTGCACGCAAAACTGACATGTTGCCGTCCCCATTCTTCCACAAGCCCTGAATTCCAACAAATGCCATCTTGTACAAACGTTTATCGCTTGTGCCTTATCATTTCGCTTACTCTCAAACAGAAGGTAGCAAGTGAACTTTGTCTTAACCTTGAACAACGGTTTGACCACTGGAAGGACTATCTCAACGAATACTTCGGCCGGCATAGCCCTAATCAGATTATTTCATTTGCAAACGAAGCTACGTGGGCAGCGTCATGTGATACACTGAAAGAAGCAGAAGTATGGTCTTACATTCAAACTCTTAAGAAAGGAAAAGCAGCGGGACTGGAAGGGTTTCCTCCTAATCTTTTCAAAATAGAGGAGGGAAGATAAGCTCATAAGCTGTCACTGACTTACTGCACAACAGTGGGTTGCAGGAGCGTATTTCATCATCTTGGAGCGAAGTACTGATCGTCCCTATTTACAGGAAGGGATTTCGCAACGACTGCGCAAACCACCGCCGGATAAGTTTGATCCCAACCCTCACCGAAGCGTTCGACTTCGTCATAAATCGACATCAGACTCTTTCGAGAGAGACGAATATCACTGAACAGTAAGCCGGATTCCCGTCCCGTTGTGGGTGAACTGATCAAATTTTCATGTTACGTCAGGCCCTCTAACTGCGTCATCCCCCTCAGCGACCGACGATCGTAATGTTCTCGCAAGGAGCCTTCGACTCAGTTGACCGCGAAGCTCCAATGGGTTCGCTTCTTTGAAAAGCGGTGCGCCAAAGTATGTAAACTTCCTGAGGTCAACATGTTCACATACCTCTGGTCGAGTGAGAGTCTATAACAAACTGATTAACTCCTTCGCCTTTCAGTAGTGGCGTTCATCAAAAGTGGCCGATTTCGTCATTTTCATTCAATTTAGTAGTAAACTAAGTATTGGAGAACGAGCTAACTGGCCTCCCAAATGTTAGTAATGAATGAGCAACTGAGGAAAGACTGAGGGAATAGACCAACAACTTCGTCTCTCTTCGAATGCATCATGTAAACTTAGCAGATTCATCATCATCATCATCATCATACAACAAAATACGCTGCCAAACTCGCAACAAATAAACTTAATGGTAATATGTACGAAGGGTAGGAACTAAATCTACTTTGTGGGAGGAGGAAGAAAGCGAACCTATTTGATCAACCCAGGGTACGCGACCTAACTGCGCACACAATTTTTAGGTTTTCTGGTCTGATAAGAAATGACAAGAAGAACGCCACGGCTGTCGGTTCGCTGCCATATCGTTTAATGTTTACAATCAACTAGTCTTTCGGATCCGAATCCGGGAAACGAGAGACACCCACTCTACCTAATGGCTCTGTGTATTTCTTCATGTCTCGTCTCCCCGTCAACTGCCGGTCTCAACGTGGCTTTCTCCAGTTTGGAGCGGCTACTGCAAATAAGGGGCCGTGAGGTAGGCAACCGTTAGGCATACACAAAAAGTGTCCTAACCGAAGGAGTCTATTGAGTTTAATTCGATGTTCTAGCAAATGTATCCATGATAAACTTCCAAACCCATTCGCTCCATCCCACGTAGGTTAAACTACGTAAACACAGCTAATCGAAAACTTCTAGCTGATGGATATCTTCTACTCGCAAATCCAAGGTCTCACAACCATAAAGTAGAATTGAACAAACGCTACCACAATATACACAACCTTCCAACTTCAGTGAAACGTCGCATTCACGCCAAAGATGTTTCGGTCCTGCATATGCTGCTCGAGCCTTGGAAATGCGGGAGGTTATCTCCTTTGTTGCGCTGCCGTCATTGGTCACGCAGCTACCTAAGTATGAAAAGTAAACTACTATGATGAATTCCTGGTCATTTAGTTTCAGAGTGGGAGTAGGCGAAACCCAGTCCTGCAGTATCACTTTGCACTTTGAAGAAGCACAGTATATACTGGATAAGGTGCCAACAGCTTTTAGTGTAGGAAGTGCGTTTCGCGGATACTCCATACATCAGAGTAGACAGACGATGTATGCAGCATAATCTAAATCGCAAAAATTTTCTCCAGTTACACATTCAATTCATGCGTCCTAGAGACCACTTAGTTCGCTCTCCAGTATTTCGTAGGCGACAAAATTGAACAGGAATGACTAAATAAAGCATTCGCGTTCAATTTCGTCGTAGGTGAAATACTGGAGAACGTACTTGGCAGACTAGAGTTCAATCGCTCTTTATGTGCGCCTTGCACATTCAAAATGCAGTGGTACTATAATACTGGATAATCAACTGGTACTGGTTTGAAAAATCATGGACACGAATCTGCTGGAGTAGGTGAGTTCTATCTAAGCATTCATGTAATCAATGACAGCAGTGCAGTAAAGGAAATGATGGCAAGCATTTTAAAAGCTCGAGCAGCGTTCACTTTCAGTTCAGTTTGTACAACCATTACCCATGCACCTTCGTGCGGGTGGTTTTGGTCGCTGCCTTTTGGCTGCCCATTTGGATGAACATGAGGAGAAAGACAGGAAAAGTTGAAAGTAGGATCAAAAAGAAAATTTAGAATTTCAGTGGACTAGTGTTGCAGAGAAATTGACAAAGTGCACGAACGCCACTGTTTACGACACTCAGCCACATCACTCAGTGTCTCTCAACATCGGGTACGATAGTCCCAAGGAGTCTAACGGGACCTATTTAACCCAGTCTCCCGGATAGGGTTTTTATACCCTCATGTTAGGTCTTAGGTTGATCGCCCTTGGCTGACTTCCACCCACTCCTTGCCTCGGCGAATATCGCTCGCCGTGGCAACCTATTCGATGACATGCGTAACACATGCCCCAACCAGCATTATCTATGGAAGTCGACACCTGCTCCAGGGGACGGCTACAACTAGTTCAGTTCAGTTTGTAAAACCAATACCCATGAATAAAATCGACGGAGTATAGTAACAGGGTGAAGTTGAGAGACAATGTTGACTAAACTAATTCCGCTGTGATTTTCACAAGAGGATCTGTCAACTTTCTTGTAGATCGGTATGATCACCGATTCACACCATTCAGTTGGAACCTCTCTCTTCTCTCCCACACTTAGCCCAGGAGTTTTGTTAACTCCAAAACTAATGTAAAACCTTCATCCTTAAAAACGGATGGGGGCAGTCCGTTGAGGCCGAAAGCCTTATACCTTTTGAGAGAATTTATCTCTCTGGTAACCTCCATTTCAGATGGAGGACTGGCATCAACTGGGAGTTTTGCTCAGTCGGGGTGGAGGGTGATAGTTCAAATGTCCGTGAGTGCTAGTTGAACTGAGCCTCGAAATGTTCAACCCAACGGTCAAGACGGCGTTGCTGACGGTGAATCAGTGTGCCATCGGATTCCCTAATTACCTCACTAAAGCCTATTTTCCTATTCCTAAGTAGACAGAAAAGATTGCGACTATTACCATTAGCCGCGGCCTTTTCCATTTCTCTACACTTCCCTACCCACCACTTCTCGGGGTCATTCCTCAGACTCTTGCTGAGCTGGCGTTTAAGGGATTTGCGTGCCGTGTCATATGTGGCATCGAGAGCGAGGGTTCTGTGGTTGTCCAGCAGGGCAGCCGAGGTCGAAGAGATTCATAGTTTGTGTTCTGAGCTTGCAGCAGAGTCCGATGTTGTTTTTATCGACGTTTGCATAGGTTCCTTGCTTCCAGTGTTCATTGAGTCCTTCGACTGGTGGCTGAGCAGCGTAGGCAAGACTGAAAAATTTCTGGCACCGGCATGAAGCTTCCTTGAAATCGTACGGTTGTGCACACCGTGCCACTGAGCGGTCAGTTCAGTGTTACGGCTGCGGGATCTAGAATTGACGAGTAGAAAACAGCCATCCACCAGAGATTTCCGATATTCATATAATTTGGCGTAGATGGGATGGAGCGAGCATGCAAGGATCACTGAAGTAGGCCGACGGGTTGGGGAGTGTATTGATCAAAATTCATTACCACACTGAATTCAGCTTGATAGGCTTTGTTGCGTTGAGATGCGAATGACGCTTGCTGAAAGTGAGTCTACAGCACCGCACCTAATTTGCCATTGACAGTCCAGGGTTGAAAACCAACAAATGATGTGTCAACGAGGCAATAAATGCATAGAACGAATAGATAGTACAGATGTCTATCACCCTTCAGACTGGGTTCCGAAAAATCCCGTAACTGGTTGGTTGAAAACACTGAAGGACATGACAGCGAACTGACAACACTGCTGTTCTGGTCGTCATTTCAAATCGGGTCAAAATGCTTGAGGAGGTATCTACGCAGCTAAGCCGTCCACTGTGTGTTGACTAAGGGGATTCATTTTCATTTTCTCAAAACAAGTCCACTCCCCATGCACCTTACGCATTAGTACTTAATTTGTGTGTATTGAGTCTGGAAGCGATCGGTTAAGCTCGCTTCACTATTTCGCCATACGATTAGATTCAAAAATTGATAACAGGATCACCACTACCTCGAGTCAAAGTCATACTTTCTGGCCGTACAAGATAATCACTTGTAAATCATTTGTGACTTAGTGTAGGTGTGGGCATTCATCAACTCGGTGAACAAGTTACTACTAACACCAGTCATGCAAGTAGCATAGAGCCATTGATACTGAAAGGGAGCAGTCAACCAAACTCACCGTGGTTCACATAGTTCCCATTGACCATTTTTTACGGCTGTATCGATAAGGTAATGCCAACAATTCCACTCATTAGGATGCTCTTTGAGTCTCGTCAATGACAGCTCAAGCACTTGATCCCAGTCATTCAAGGAAGCGGCTAGGCGCATACGGTCCAAGGTATAGTCCACCTGATAATCCAACTTGTCTAATCGACCTAAAATTACAATGATATGGTTACTAAAAAAAACTTACTCAGAAGGTCCGCATTGTTTAATAGGTCTAAAGCGCGCGATGGCTTGTTTAAGCGCTCAAGAAGTTCGATCAGCAACTGCAATTCAATATGAGTCTCCATCTTACATTCGTCTGCATCACGAGAAAGCATCTTCTCTGCCAGAGGCAAAAACATTCGTTGACCCAAAATGGGATCACTTTCGGCTTGCATTAGTGTGCTTACAATCACCCAATATGTATACAACCGTGAGGAATATAACTGTGAAAGCTGCCGTGCCGTTTGCTGTTGAGCCGAATAATTAGCTTCTTCTGCTTGGCAGAGGAACAGACAAACTAAGAGATTCTCGCGATTTCCGGTTTTTTCCAACGCGTTCTTTATATATTGCGAAATACGTTTTGATTGACCAGTTTCGTGAAAGTACCATAGAATTAGGCTTATTGTGGATTCATCCGTAGGACATGCCTCCACTACCTCCTCAGCCAGGGGAATAGCTTCGCTAATTTTACTCATCTTTACCAAAGTCACAGCTTTTAAAGCCTATCCAATCTGTTGAAACGGAATATCAACGGGCAAACCTTCGCAGAAATTAAGTTAGGCATCTTTTTCAGAACTTTGTTGACTTCCTGGAGCGCCTTCTTATAATTTTCACTTTCGAAGGGGCCTGCAGAATAATCAAGGCAACAATCACTCACCGATAACTGATTTGAGGCGAGCATCTTTAATATCCAACTTCCACATGCTTCAATGAATCCAATCTGCAACATGAGCAGTTCAACAAAACAAATAGTACATCAATCTTCATAAACACCACTTAATAATAGTCGTAAAAACGAAACCTATAGATGAGGAATGTTCATTTGAATTTCAATAGAAAATTTAGTCATCAAGCTTTTTTTAGTGAGTACTTTTTCATTAGCCGCAATATCATCCCAAGAAGGAACTTGCCATAATCTCTTTATAACACATGACGTGATTTACAGCGCAAAGGGTAAACCCCATCATTAATGACACTGTGAGGGGTAAGGCGTAGGGAAACACTTAAGTAAGAATCATTTTATTGATCCTGACGTTGAAAAGAGTAAGATTATAAGTGCACGGAAACAACAAGATCGGAAGTGTGCCACAACTTCGCAGTCCGGGATAAAAATAAGACTGAAAGTTAAAAGTACATCTGGGGACAGAAACCTGATAAGAGTAACTACTCACCTGAGAGTGAAGAGGAGAAAGCCTCAACGAGAGCGAAGCTGCTGAAACGAGTTCAGAAGAGAAGAAATAAAAATGGTTACGATAGAAAAGAAACAACGAAGCAACTACCCGGCGATGGGAAAGCGACTGCAGGCTGGAAGTTAAAGATGGTTTGTCGATCAGCCGAATGGTCTTACGTTGAACACGGGCTAGGAGAAAAAGAGTGGGATACGAAGCTCTAACCCATACGTGACTGCAGTATTTCAGCATCAGGTGGATTTGAGCTTTGTGTAAAAGGTGCTTGGTTGTGAAGAAACGCCTTGCGCGGAATAGAAAACTGACTGTGTGTAGTGCGAAAGGCGAGTGTGGAAATAAAGTGGATCAACAGAGAATTTACGGGTAAACCCAGGAAACGAAGGAGCAGCGAGTTAAAATTCGATTTAAGAAAATAAGAGACAAGTTTAAGGGGGACGCAGAGGAGATAAGTTTTGGAAGCGTTGGAACACAGTTGGTAGAAACTCATGCGGAGATAAGTCCGAGATAAGAAGTAAGATAAGCCAGATAAGCATCTCCCCCTGAGCTCTCAAGGTTGCACGCGTGGACGCGATTCTCCTATAGAAGCATTTGTCTCTTCATTGTGCTCCGATTCCTACCAAATCACACCGTTACTGTCTCATATCAATCATACATCAAGACCGAAATCCGTAAATGACTATTCGACCATATAATCGAGTCTATAACCAACCTGGAGTCCTTGTGACCAAAATGAGAGAAATAAGAAACGCATGGTTGTCGACTACAGCCAAACAATAAATCGCTTCGCTTGTTCTGATGCATATCTTCTCCCAAGATCAATGAACTGGTGAAGAAAGTGTCTAACTATTAACTCCGCAGTACTTTTCACCTTCACAGTGCTTAGCATCAAATCACTTTCCGCAAAGAATACAAACCTATTACAGCAAATGAAGCTTGTAACAAGTCGTATCCACTCTGCCACCTTCTATTCAGAATAAAGAACAGAGTGGCTAGTTCCCAAAGCGCCATGGATAATATCATTCACGAAGAAGGTTTACGCTGACAATATTACCGTTTACGGCAGCAATGCAAAGGAACATGACGCAAATCTCAAGATATTCCTAGGGTGTTCTAACAGATGTGGAATCACACTCAATGAAAGCAAGAGCATTATTTCCCCCATCAATATTGAACTTTCGGGGTGAAATAGCAAACAGAGTACCATCATCGCTATACGACGACAATGATGACAAGACATGGTCAAGCCAAACCCTAAACGACCCTGAGCTCTACCGGGTTTACCTGCACCTGACGACATTGATCCACAAAGATCAGTCAGGATGCCAGAGAATTATGGTCGGTGAATCCCGCACTCCTTTGGTAAAATCCCAATTTAAGTGAACAACCGAATGTTTCCACTAACCAGAGAAGTGCAGGATGCGTTGGAAAACATGGAAAGAAAATTGTAAAAAATCGATGTGTTTACAATTGATCACTAACATCCAATAGTTGTAGAGACAGACGCATCCCGGATTGCCATAGATGTCACGCTCAACCCGGACGATCGATTAGTGGCCTGTTTCTCTCGCACCTTATCTCCCAGCAAGCAACATCATCTTACCATCCAGATCAAAGCCTGCGTCATCGTCGAAGCATTAGGAAAATGGAGACTAAGTACTCAGCCATCATTTTACTATTATCACTGATCAGCTGTTCAGCGGCACTTATGTATGACAAACAGCACAACTGAAACGTGAAAAACGACAATACTTAAAGGTGAAAGTAGCAATTCTCATGTTAACATTAAGATATTCACTACCGTCAGGAATAAAACTTTCAGTTTTCAGTTTTACAAACATTAACCATGCAACTTCGTGCGCAGGTTTTGGTTGCTGTCTTTTGGCAACCCGCTTGGAAAAAAGGGAACGGTGGAAGTTGGAATGTTAAGAGCCAATTCAAACAGAAGATAGAGAATTCAAATAGAGAGCAATGAGTAGATACATGAGCGCTCCTGTTTGCGACACTGAACCATATCACTCAGTGTCTCTAACCATCGGTGATCACTATCTCGGGGTCCCTAGCCAGGGAGTCTAACGGGACCTACGTGACCAAGTCCCTTGGTTACAGTTTGCATACCCTCATGCCAGGTCTCAGTTTGACCACTCATGACCTTTTTCCGGTCACTCCCTGCCTCGGCAAACATCGTTCGCCGTGGTAACCTATTTGGTGACATACGTAACGCAGGCACAAACAAACGAAATCTATGGAGGTCGACAACCTGCTCCGGTGGACGACCATGGCTACCCAGAACTATACGCTCAACCTCAGCATTGCTCGTCCAGACTCGTGCAATGCGACGTACACAGCGGTGTTTGAACACCGAAAATCTATTTTTATCCTGTTCCCGTAGTATCCAAGTCTCTGTATCGTACAGTAGAACTGGCGAACTGCTGCAGCAGTTCGCCAGTTCTACTGTACGATACAGAGACTTGGATACTACGGGAACAGGATAAAAATAGATTTTCGGTGTTNNNTTAGCAAAAGCCAACCGAGCCTTATTTATGTGCGTCAACGCTTCATCCGTGATGAGTCCACCAGGTGAGATATAGCTGCCTAGGTAGCAAAAGTTGTCTACATTTTCTAATATTTCCTCAGTCAGGGTGAGAATGGGTGCTGGACCAACCCACTTTTGGATCAATATTTTACACTTTGAAGGTGCAAAAAGCATACTGAACTGGCTACACTAGCACTTAAGCTATCCAGAAAAGCTTGCAACTTACTTGGATCTTCCCTTAATAGCACAATGTCGTCTGCATACTCTACATCAGACAGTCTGCCACTCGGGAGTAAATCGACACCACTAACCTCGCACGAGGATAAGAATGAAATCTATGACAAAGTTAAACAGAAACGGAGAGAGAGGAGACCCTGTCAAACATCGCTTTCTGTAGTGAACTCGGGTGAAAAGCTCGGACTTGACTTCGGCTATTACTATAAAGGGATTGTCACATTGAAATAAACTTCTCGGGCGCACCCTTCAGAAAACGGCAGCGCCAGAGTTTAGAGCGGTCGACTGAGTCGAAAGCCGCTTTTATATCGAGGAAAATGCTGGAACCTGTTCCTTTTCCCACACTTAAAAACGGATGGGGACAGCCCGTCGGGGCCGGAAGCCTTATGCCGTTTGA